GCTCTAAGGTTAATTGTTACATTATATGTTTATTTTAAAAATGTATTAATTTTATTAAAATAACAAAATAAACTATGCACAACAGAAGAAAATATATGTATAGATAAAATGAAAGGCAGCAGAAAGAAGAAAAATGTATTTTAAGATCTGCCCCTTTTTAAAGAATAAATTCAAATAACAGTAATTTATAAAAAACTAAACTAAACTAAAACATACATATATTTTTATATTATATTAAGTTTTGTTCACCATAACACCAACACAATTACTCCATGTAAATCAATTCTGTGAAATCAATCTGTCCACTTAGGAAGTAACGCTGATGACAAACAATTTCACAAGTTGTYAGCACATTCAAGAAAGTATTCAATGAGAATATTTCATTCATTCAGATCTAGGACGAGCAGTTGTAACAACATGGCTAATGCTGTTAGCCAAGCCTTACTGCTAAACCATGTGCTAAATCACGTTTTTGCTCAATTTTTATTAAGTTTGGCTAATCCGGTCCAAGCTTACTGCGCATGTCCAAAATTTTCCAATGACTTGTGTATGGGACTCTCGGGCGGCGAACCGGCAGTGACCCGGAAGTGACTCAACACGAAAAAGCTCATGAGTAAAATGGAAGTTTACACATCAAAAACTCTAAATTATTTATTTTACTTATCACAAAACATATACGATATTTTTTCGAAACATTTATAATATTTTATTTAGCTATTTTATTTATTTTTAAAAATTTTGTGTACAAAAAACTAGTGGTGGGCCGGCGCCCCAGTGCCCCCAATTGACCAGCCGCCACTGGAACTGAGTGAGGTGCAAAAAGTGATTTATTTTACAAAAAACTGGCATGGCAGCAAACAGGAACAAAGGCTTGGGCTTGGACAAGAACATGAACAGCAAACAGTTAACAAAGATCTGACAAAGACTGAGGACAAGGAACAGACTAAAACTAATGAGTGAAAACAAGGTACACCTGGGAGACAAACACGAGGGTCAGGTGTGAGTGGGCAGGGCCAAGCAAAGGTAGACAGGAGGAAAACAGAGGGACATGACTGAAAACCAAAATAAAGTCAAAATTAAACATGAAATCAGACAGAACATAACAATTATAATCACACTAATGCTTTACACCACGCTGTTGGGTGGCAGGTTACTGTAAATTTAAATAATAATCCTGTGCTGATTGGGTGTTCTGGCTATAGCAGCCCTCCTCTATTTATTGCAGGACCATTGAACTTATATAGATAAAAACATGTGGTGTTATTTAACTTATGACATGTTGCAAGGTTGTGTAATAAAAAATCTACATCTTTACAACTTCTTGGATTATTTAATTGCTTTCAAGACATGATTAAACGGTGGGTAGTTAGACGAGCTSTACCACATTTACTCAAGCTAAACTACAAAATCTGTTGGTTAGAAACAGCCTGATTTGAAACAGGTAAGATGTTCATTGTTAATATTTATTCTACACAACTCATATAAACGCTAAACTACTTTTAAAGTAGTCATACTGTAGCTTCCAAATGTTCTAACTTCCTGTACCACAGTAGTTGGAGGACACACTGAGGGACAACACACAGTATAATGAGTCTGTGTGTGACCACAGGTCCCCTTCATGCTTTTGTTGAATTACTTGAGTATATTCTGATGCTGGTTTTGGGTTTTTTCCCATCAGACACACAATCACAGACTGGAAGTGACAGAAAAGAGAACTGAGCCTGTCCCAGAGGACAGACTAACAAAATGCTTTTGAAACAATATTGTTTCTTTACCTCATGGTTAAATGCCATGAGCTAAATGCAAAGCCCCTAAAGCTCAGTGTCTTTTTCGACTTCATCATATTGAACATCCCCAGTGTCAACACCAAAGTCACTGATAACATCAAATACTTCAGGCGACTTGAGCAGCTGAGGTTTAAACATGGTCGGACTCACTCACAATCACTTCCCAACATTTTATGACTGACCCAGTGCTTCCAGCAGAGACACACAAGTGGATGATCATTATTAGAAAACAACCKGAGAAAGAGGCTGCTCCATCATCACGTTCAGTGCGACTGGGTGAAAAAGTTCTGCTGCCTCTGTCAGCCATCATGTGGGACAGATTTACAGAACGTCCTCAGCAGAGCTTAGAGTTCCTGTCCTTCCTAAGTCTGTTTCTCTTCAGGCTGTGGATGGATGGATGTATGGATGGATGGATGGATGGATAGATGGATGGATAGATGGATAGATGGATAGATGGATAGATGGATAGATG